GCGGTGTGGGAGAATGTTTACAGAGAAACAGAGAGAGAGAGAGAGAGAGAGAGAGAGAGAGAGAGAGAGAGATTTTTTGATTTTTAATATTTTATTTATATTTTAATCAATTTAAAATTAAAAAATTAAAAAATATGGGACCCACAATGCCACGTAGGCAGTTAACAGAGAAATCTAACAGAAACCCTAACAGTGGAACCACATTGCAAAAAATTTACAAACTAAGGGTATGTGATTGTTAAAATTGAAAATACGGGGACTAACATGTCTTAAGGGTGTAAGTACAAGGTACTAAATTGTAATTAACCCTTAATTTAAACTAGTGATTTTAGCTTGCCATATGCCTATATCGATTTAAATAAACATATCTCTATCATCTGTAGTGGGCTGTTGATTTAAATGTCCACTCAAAATCCTTGAATTGTCTGACTTTTAACAAAACCATTGGTAGTTGCGGGTCTTGTTAGCCAATCATCATCTCCAAAGAATCTAATACCACCAATTATCAAGGTCATTATATGTTCTTAAGCATTGTTTGTGGTTCAACCTTTTCAACCCTACTTCACCAAAAATAAATAAGTAATTATGTGTCTTTAATTTTTGTAGGAAATGGCGATTAAACTAGTGGGAACTAACCTAATTTCAAAAGCATGTTGACCAAAAATTTATAAGAATATTTTCCAAATCCGAAAGTAAATTTGGCAACAAAATGAACCCTATTATCATCATTAATAATACAAAGTAAACTTGAAAATATAGGTTAGGTCAATTGATTGGGCTCGCCACTTGACGAAAGATAAAATATGTAAACGAAAAGACAATATCGGTGTAATTTATCTGAAGAAGCCCAACTAACCCGATTATTATTTGGGCTAGTCTCCTAAGTTGAACCCAACTTAAAAAATCTTCAACCCTACACGTCCATAACTTTCACAGTCCTGGGCCCGGCACACATGGTGACAACCCGACCCGTCCATAACTTTCACATTGTCACTTAGGTTGGTTTTTTTTTGGTCGACAGGTTGATAAAATAGGTATTTTGCTTCATTTGGATAAATCCCTTGCTCTAAACCCTCACCAAGGTCTGCGTTCTTCTTCGTCTCTCTCATAGAGTTTAGATTATACTTATTTAATAATTTCTAGCAAAACTGAGTGAAACAGAGTAATCTTTTGTCTTATTTATGATAGATTAGATATGATATCTGTGATTAATCGTTGTATTGCTATTTTGATGTATAGGAAAGCGAACGAGTAGCTTGGTTGAAGAAAATGGCTTATGCAGGGATGAAACCAAAGGCAGGTCTGGAGGACCCTCAGGAGCAGATCCACAAGATCAGGATCACTCTCTCCTCCAAGAACGTCAAGAACCTCGAGAAAGGTCTCTCTTTTTGCTTATCATCGGTCTTATTTAATTTTTGCCCATTTCTTTATTTTTAATTGGAACTAGTTTCTCTTAGCTAGGGACGCGTTTGTGTAGTAGTTTTACCTTGTTCCAATTTTCAGTTGTCTAAAGACTAAGACCCATTTGATAGCTGGAGGATATCTGTTAGTGTATATTGAACTTCGGAGAAATGTTTGTGCATATAACATGAAACCACTGCAAGAAATTTTCAATAAATTTGGTTTGTTATACCCGAATTATCTTCTTAATCTGCAAGATTGTTCTGGTTTTTATGAGCTTCATTGTGTTCAATTTCAGTTTTACTTGATTGCTGTGTGACGTGGTTGAAATGGGTTTTATCCACCATTGTCTCTACATAAAGTTTTTAAGTTTGTTTAGATTATTAAGAATTAAGAATTTTCTTGTTTGAATATTTCTTTAGCCTGCTGGATTGACATCTGTTATGTTGATAGTTTGCACTGATCTGGTTCGTGGTGCAAAGGACAAGAGGCTCCGGGTTAAGGGACCCGTGAGAATGCCAACCAAGGTTCTGCACATTACCACCAGGAAGTCTCCTTGTGGTGAAGGTATGTTTCACTGTGAAATGTTCTTGTTGTTAACTTATGGCTTTATGGGCAAGGCTTATGGCTTTTATGGCCATTTACTCAGAGTTTGGGGCTCCCTTGTTTGTGCCAAGTTACATAAGTAAAATTTGTTGCTTACTGTGGTTTATTCATAACTGACCGGTTATTGAAGTACAGTGTCTCTGCATTTGCATTTTAAAGGGTTATGTATGTATCTTTAAAATTGTGTTTGTGATTTATAGGTACCAACACGTGGGACAGATTTGAGTTGCGTGTCCACAAGAGGGTGATTGACCTCTTCAGTTCTCCTGATGTCGTCAAGCAAATTACTTCCATTACAATTGAACCTGGTGTGGAAGTGGAGGTTACAATCGCAGACTCTTAAACTGGACCCGTTTTCAGTGTAGCCTTCCTACTTAAAAATGAGCTTGTTTGTTGTGTTCTAATCTTGAATTTAAAGACTTGGTAGTGTCGTTTGCAATTTTCTTGAGCTATTGTTTTGATATGAATATGCACTCCCATGTTTTGATGTTAAATATAAGTACTTTAGCTTTGTTTCCTTCCCATTGATGCTCACTGTGGAACGGAGAAATGTTCTCCTGTTATACTTTATTCTGGTTGGATTGAGTTTCTGATTGTTGTTGTTGAACACAAAAAAACCTAAACATGTTTCATAATTTTTGTTTCTTATGTGCTTGCCTCTTGGTCACGAGTATGATGAATGTTTAGCTTTGTTTCCTTCCCATTGATGCTCACTGTGGAACGGAGAAATGTTCTCCTGTTATACTTTATTCTGGTTGGATTGAGTTTCTGATTGTTGTCGTTGATCCCAAAAAAACCTAAACATGTTTCATAATTTTTGTTTCTCATGTGCTTGCCTCTTGGTCACGAGTATGATGAATGTTTAGCTTTGTTTCCTTCCCATTGATGCTCACTGTGGAACGGAGAAATGTTCTCCTGTTATACTTTATTCTGGTTGGATTGAGTTTCTGATTGTTGTCGTTCAACCCAAAAAAACCTAAACCTGTTTCATAATTTTTGTTTCTTATGTGCTTGCCTCTTGGTCACGAGTATGATGAATGTTTACGATGTTTTCTTTGAAGTAGAATGTTTTAGATCCTAGGCATGATTCAGCTGATTGCATGCTGCTAATGAACTTGACAACACTGACAAAATTCTTTGAAAAATAAGCTCTTTTCTTGACACATTGCCCTGTTGATTAAGAAAAAAATTTACACTATGCTGAACAAAATTGTCAATGAACAACACTAAACTGAGATGCTATATGCGCATCAAATTGAAACAAGAAATTAAACACTATTAAGATTGACCTACATAATTTATACACCATGAAGAAACATGATTTCATTTATCAAACACTCTACCTCTTTGATTCCGAATAATAAGCAAGATACCAATTTACAAACTTCCTCAACCCTGTCTTCAAATCTGTTGTGGGCATATAACCAAGCTCCCTCCGCGCCAAGCTGATGTTAGCATGAGTAAACAAAACATCCCCATTCCTCGGCATTGGCACCACAACCTTCTTAGCCTTCACCCTCAGCAACCTCTCCATAATACTCACCACCTCACTCACTGGCACTGGCGAAGTGTTCCCGAGATTAAAAACCCTCAACTGCGCTCGCCCCTCAACCCTGCCACCGCTCCCGGTGCTCTTCTCAGCCGTGTCCAACGCAGCCAAGCAACCCTTCACAACATCATCTATGTACGTAAAGTCCCTGGCAACAGAGCCATGATCTGGGCCTTCAAAAACCACAATAGGCTTCCCTCTCAACATGTTCTTAGTAAAAGAAAAGTACATCATATCAGGCCTGCCCCAAGGCCCATACACAGTGAAAAACCTCAACCCAGTAATGGACAGCCCATGGATATGGTTATAAGCGTGTGCTATTTCTTCCCCAGCTTTCTTCGTTGCAGCGTACAAGCTAGCTGGTTGGTCCGCACGGTCTTCTTCCGAAAAGGGTACCTTAGAATTGAGACCATACACAGAGCTAGACGAAGCCCAAACAATCGAAGGTTGTGGGTTCGCTGATTTACAGACCTCGAAGACATTGACGAGCCCAGCGATGTTGCTGTGGACATAAGAAGCTGGGTTTTTCAGAGCGTAGCGAACGCCGGCCTGAGCAGCCAAGTGGACGACATGGGTAAACTTCACAAGCCGGAAAAGCTTGGCGAGTTTCTCAGAGTCGTTGATGTCTGCTTCCAGTACGAAGACCCCATTGTGCAGTAGCAGATCCGAACGACGGCGTTTCAGCGACGGGTCGTAGTACTTGTTGAAGTTGTCTATTCCGACGACGCCGTCTCCGCGTTCTTTGAGCGCGAGCGAGACGTGGGTTCCGACGAAACCGGCGGCGCCGGTGACGAGAACCGAGTGGCCGGTGGAATTATCACGTGGCTTGGCGGATTGGACGACGACGTTTTCCCATGTGGATCGGCTTGGGAGGACTCGGCGGTTGGCATTGGAAGATGGGGTTTTGAGGAGGAAGAAGAAGAAGAAGGCGAGCAGGATGGTGAACCAGCAGAAGATGAGCTTGGTTATGGAGCAGCGGTAGCGAAACCGATGAGTGTGTATGGGTTTGTCCATTGAAGAAATTTTCCCGGGAAAATTCCTCTTTGGCTTTGTTTTTGTTCTGGGCTTTAATCTTTTGCCATTGGTTTTTAAACGGGAAGAGTTTTGCGTTAATGGGGATTTATGAAGTTTGTGATGTGAAGGAGTTTGCATGTGAATTGAAGAGTTTGAAGTCAAAAATCAAAGTTGGGTTTTTGGGTGACAGAGGGATTGGGCTCGTCCCCATCTTCCTTGATGGTCCAAGTGTAACTTAATTTCTGTGTTTTTTTTTGTTACTATTTGCTTGTTGGTTGGTGTAGTTATCTTAATGACTCCTATCTATGTACAAAGTGTAAGGAACCCAACAGAGAATCAAACCAAAATGGAAGAGTAAAGGGATTGAATGAAGGAAAACTGGATAAGGGAGGGAAGCAAAGTTTGCAAAGGAGTTTAAACAAAGTGGAAGAGTAAGCAAAGAAACAGAATTTTGAAAGGAAAGGGATTGCTTTCACAAATAAATACATCGTATTATTTCACATATGGGCTTGATGTCCTGACCTTGAATTCTCCAACAAGAAAATGCCAATCCCCAAGCAAATTGTAAACCGTGTAATGGTAGTCTCAACCTACATCAAGACGAAGAAGCATCAGCAATCTAACAATGAAGACGACTAGATTGAGATTTGAGAAATGCAGAACAGCTACAGGAAGTCTTACTTTCTGATAAACACTTGAAATCAGAAAGGGAAGGAAGTGAAAAAGATTAAATATTACAATTAATCATTCAGTTCACTTAGATGGGCTCATGATGTTGTCTCATGAAAACTAGATTAATTGCCTCACCTCAGTTTTTTAGGTGAGACCCAAGGGTATCCATCGCCGACAGCAGTGACTAATTCCTTTCGCCGGGGGAGCTCTCCCAATAGAGGTAAACGGCTGGCCATGAAATGTGCTCCATTCCCATGGGCGGGGATCGAACCCCCAACCTCATGGTTAAGGAATGAAGTGAGCTACCACCACACCACATCTCATGGTTTCGTTTTCAACATTTTCGTTTTCAGAAGATACGGTGATTCATGTTTTCCCTCTCTTTCTCCAATCAACTAATGAGCACCAGACCAAAAATAAATCAACTGAGGAGCACCACTGTCGGGACTTGAATCTCAATTTCCCCACTGTTGAAGATATTTTTGGTGAGCTGATTATGGGATGGGGGAAAAGGAGACAAAGAGGAGGTCATATCACTTGACTTTTAACCAAAGTTTAAATTCACCCATTAAACATTGAACATTGATGTGTCTGATTAGAGGCATTTTTTGAATAAATCAAGCAACAAAGCTACTTGCTTCTGTCAAATCTATAAAATCATGGTTAATTAATATTAATACGCCTCTCCTTCTTACACGGTCTCTTCAGTCACTTCTATTTTTCCTTTTAAAAAAACAAAAACAAAAAAGACGAATATTGTTGGTAAGCTTTCGGCTCCTTTACCTCATTAAGCATCGAAAAACATGCATTGAAATTCATGATTGGTTTTTCTAATCAAATCCAAAATCCTATCCTGAAGATTAATTAACAGAAACAGATGTTGCAGTTGGTCGAAACTTGAAATCATTTGCAATCACGTACATATATGAACATGGATTTCATATATTTTGCTCATTTTTTTCAACACTGTGATCTTTAGCAATCATTCATTTCTGTGCATGCTTTTGTTTTATTACCCACAACAACACCAACACCATTTTCATTCCATCATCACCTGAGTGGCTTCTTTCGGTTCTTTGAATCTTTATTCATTCATAAAAACTCTAGCCACTTTAGTCATTTGCTGTGGCCAGTGCCCACCCACACCACCATCATTTCTGCGGGGCGCGAGCTTTTTCTTAAATCATATCATAAAATCAATTTAAGCTTTTTCATAACTTGTTCCCCACAATGGAACTACGACGTGACTCATTATTGTTACAATTTTACATATCTTGATCTTGAATGAGCTAGCCAGTGGCCACCATGGAAGGTGGCCTTAATAAATTTCATGTGCAATGTAGCGATAGAGCAATTTAATTTGCATACACTTGCATGGATGGATCATGAAAGCGCAATATTATATACTGTCGATCTGGTTAGGTGAGAAGAGAGAAACTCATGCTGCATGACTTTGCATTAAATCCATAGACTCTTCTTCTTCTTCTTCTTCTCTCAGTACTTGACAAACTAAATAAGAAATTTCAACCACCGGAGCAAGGTGCATATTAAATTCCTGAATTTACATTTCACGCACCTCTCTTCTTTCACATCATTAGTTTTCCTTTCGCCTATTTCATTCAATCTATCAACCACCAAGCTAGACCCTAGCTAGCTATAGGCATACGTATATGTGTGTGTACATATCTTAATTTCCAATAATGCATGCAAGTATAGTGAAGCACTCTTCCTTAGTCCTTTTCAATTGATTTTGTGTTCGATGTTTTCAAATCTGCATACTTGATCTCATGTCATCGAGTATAAGTTATTCACCTACTACATATGCACTTCGATTACAGGGCGAAGAAGAAAAAAAAACAAGATTTAAAACAAGAACAAGTACATATAGTTAAGTAATTAACTAGCTAATGATTTTTTTTTAATGATTCTGTATTTTGGGTTCTCCTAAATTCCTAACAAAAAAAATAGAGGATTGAGCAAGCAAAAGATGCTGTAACTTGATTATAAGTTACTTACTTTTACCAAGAAAGTACAAAAAGAGGTATAATGTCTATCCAGAAGTTGTCGGGAAGGAGGTACAGAAAATACAAGCTATACAACCAAAACCAACCAATGCATATCAAAATCACATAAACTTCCAAACCTCTTCTTCATATCGAGCAGTTGATCAGAGCATGCGACTCCCACCGTTGGAAAATTATAAACCAATTTCTCACCTCTCATGTCCTTCTCAAAGGCCAAGAGCCCATCGTTTTTGGTGACAGCTTAAAAAGCTTATAATTTTCTCTCACCTATAAACTTTGGATTTGAAGATGCTAATACCTGAAACATGCATGCTCTCTGCGGTCTATGGCCGGCCTGGCTTCGTACGTGATGTGCATGTACTCAATCATGCATCCACGATGTGACAAACTACTATTGTCTATAGTGCGTTAAATGTTTTCAATTTCATGACTGCCGTATATATTCATATATTTATTACATTGGAGGGATTCCGTTATAACTAAAGTTCTATTATGAAGGAAAGAAAGATTATACTTTCTCGACTTGTATATGAATAATATTCACAATCTTAATTTAAGAACACGAGCTTCATTTTATACTTAAGTTAAGTCTATTCAATCAACGATTCAGAATCATCGGCACAACACAATATGATTTAGCCTATAGGTGGGATTAGCTAGAATTACCTTATATCATTGTCATGAAACACACTTTATTTCAATACAAAAAAGAAAAAAGAAAAATACAGTGAAGTTAAAATAAAATGAGATGAGTTGAACGTAACAAAGAAACTCAAGTGGCAAATACAAAAGAGGCATGGAGGGAAAGGGATGGAATGGATTAGTAGGTCCAATCAATGCATGCTACACAGTTTACTATAGTATCGGCCCTATGGGATTGGACCAACATCCACCTTGAAAGTCGAAAACCAACCTTTCCGCCAGTAGAAACGCGCGTTCACTAAACGCTGGCACACGAAAGTAAAACTCTGCATGCAGACTGAGACTGTTACCAGTCTTCCCGCCATAGACCCCAAAGTTTCCGCAACTCTGTCTTGACGGTACACAGTACGCGCCTGGTGGACCGCAGAGAGAAACTGAGACACACACTCGCTTGGGTTCGGTGTTTGTTCGGCTTGGCTCTTGAGCCGAGCGTCACATCACATTCAACGGTGGGGGCCACTCATCTCCTCCTCCTTTCCTCACAGTTTGTGTGATTGATTGATTAGTGATTAGAGCTCTGAGGCCCACCTACTCCTGGGCCCCACCCATCCATCGCTCTCAATCTCAGCTGTACAATTTAGTCTGACTCATCATTAGGAAGCCGCGCAATTCACTCCGTGATTTGCAAATTGCAACACCCAACTTGTGTAGTGTGTAGTGTGTGATTGTATACTTTTGTATTCTTTCTTAAACTTACGCTACACATTATCGGTCCATTTTTGTTTTTGTTTTTGTTTTATTTAATTATTAAAAAAGTAGAAAGAAAATAAAACCTAAACTACAAATATGGATCCAGACACTTGAATTCGATCTCGCTCTCCGTATATTATAGTAATTTAGAATATATATATCGCTCTCCAGACATTATTATTATAAAAATGAACGTAATGTGAAATGAACGTCAGTCTATTGTGCGTTCGACATGTATTGAATATCAAAACTAGCCCACCCAACTAACAATATCTCAATATACAAAGAAACATCCTTGTCATAAAAATAAACATAGGTTCAGCTAAAATAAATATAAACTTACTATAATTGACATTCAAAATGTGATAATTTAATTATGGTAAATATTTTTATATACAAAAGGTCCCACATTGTAAATTATATTATGCAAACAGCACCGTGCAATAATCATAAGATAAGATGTATATACAAGTTTATTCGTGTGCTTGATTTGTCATTATTTCAACAGAGCATGAAAAGATATGATATTTATCTTTGCCTCCACTCCAGTGAATTCATTCAAGAATGGACTTTAGTAGTGTATATTAATAGGGCAAGAAAGGTTATTGTGGTAAATTTAGATGAAAAAGCCAATCGAAAGGATTGTCTTTTTTTGGGTAAAAAAGCCACACTGGTTTGAGTACAGATTTTGTAAAGGATAATGGCCATTGTTTCATATGTTGTGGGTTCTTCTTGCCCCGCCCGTGGTCTTCACTGATCATGAATATCAGATTAATAGCTCATAGTTTCATATTTTTCAGGATTGTGGAAGAATTCGATGAGTTTTTTTTATATAAATTTTTTATAACAAAACAATGCTACTCTACGGTATATAGAGTGGAGGGGGATCATACTCCGGGATGCAAAGGGACGGACGCATTGACTTAAACAACAGGCCTAATCCACATATGCTTATGCGGATTTGATGGGCTTATTAGATGAATATTGAGTAGGAATTAATAAAATTCAAACAGTGAAACTCTAACGCGATGAAGAGCTATAGCTTGTGTTGATAGGGACTTGACATGGAAGAAAATTACGAGGGTATGGACCAAAATCTACGAAAAGCAGTCTGGGTTGGTTGAACAATACCATCGTATTCACATACTATATAAGCCCGCGTGTTGAGATGTTTTGAGAAAAACTATCAAAAGTAAAGACTTTTACTTTGTTCAGAACCATTTCAGACCAACCAATGTTGTATTATTATTATCTTACATTGGAAATAAAAATAACAATATGTACGAGGACCACCCTTGACGCCTGCCTTGCACATCCGGAACAACCGTACACATTTTTATCCATTCTAATTTTCCTATTAATTTTTCAACATCGCTTGTCCAAATCAGAATAATTCATTTCCACCCTAAATATCTCCAAACACGTACGGAAAATATATATATAAATCATTTTCGAATTTTGTGTATTATTTTTCTATTAGAAACAATTTTTTTTTTCCCAATAAAAATAGAAACAGAATTCATTAAATACAATTAGAGAGGCGATAAATAATGTTGTGAGCGTGACCTCATAACATTTTTTTATTATTTGTGCTTTTCCATTTAGGCCTATTTTCCCGCGCTCAGCAAAATAAATAAATAAATAAAAAGAACACACGCACACATAAAGGGCTGAGATCAAATCTGATCAGATGACGACATTAGACCATGATGATGCTGCTGCCACGTCTGACTTAGCGGCCCCACCACCGTCCCTCACACACTTGGCTTTAAGAATCTATCTGTCCGCCATTACCCGCAAACCAATGCCTCCTTCTCCCAACATTTTTTTTCTTTTTTCGATTTCCAAATTAAAGAAAAATAACCTATTTATTTATTTATTTATTTCTATATATACCCCCCACTGCGAAAAATATCAAACACTTGTGACTTCTTCCCACTTCACACTCACTCACCCACTTCCCAGAAAATTTAAAATGCGCCAGGGCTGTACCGGTCGGTTTTCTCAGCCACCGGCTCCGGTGCTCCTCCTCCTCATCGCACTTACCGTGCTCCTCTCCACCGCGCCAGTGATTGGATGGCGCCCCTGGCCCTACCTTAAATCCAACGCCACCGATCTCCAACTCGGAGACAACAAAAAATTCGAGGGCTCATCTGAGTTCGTCCACTTGAAATACCACATGGGCCCGGTCCTAACCGCCAATATAACCGTCCACACAATCTGGTACGGCACGTGGCAGCCCGCCCAGAAGAAGATCATCCGCGAGTTCATCAACTCAATCTCCGCCGCCGGTTCCAAACGCCCATCCGTCGCCGGATGGTGGAAGACTGTACAGCTGTACACGGACCAGACCGGCGCTAACATTTCCCGTACGGTGCGCCTAGGCGCAGAGAAAAACGACCGCTTTTACTCCCACGGCAAAACCCTGACCCGGTTATCCATACAGTCTGTGATCAAAAGCGCCGTCACAGCCAGAACGCGGCCGTTGCCTATCAGCCCCCAGAATGGGCTCTACCTCCTGCTCACATCTGATGACGTGTACGTTCAGGATTTCTGCAGACAGGTCTGTGGGTTCCACTACTTCACTTTCCCGTCCATCGTCGGATACACGTTGCCGTACGCTTGGATTGGCAACTCAGCGAAACTGTGCCCAGGTGTGTGCGCATACCCATTCGCCGTACCCGATTATATGACCGGGTTGAAACCGTTAAAGTCACCGAACGGTGACGTAGGAGTGGAGGGGATGATAAGCGTTATCGCACACGAGATTGCTGAGCTGGCAAGCAACCCGTTAGTAAACGCCTGGTATGCGGGTCAGGACCCGAGTTTTCCGGTTGAGATTGCTGATCTATGCGAGGGCATCTACGGTACCGGAGGGGGCGGGTCGTACACGGGTCAGCTGTTGGACGACCACGATGGTGCCACGTACAATATGAATGGGATCCGACGGAAGTTCTTGGTTCAGTGGGTTTGGAGCCACATTTTAAATTACTGTACCGGACCTAATGCACTTGACCAGTAAAATTTTCGGATGTTTATTACTTTTAGCTTCTGTCTCTATTTCTGGGTTATTTTGCTTCTTCTTTTTCGTTTTTCGGGTTTTTTTGTGTGTGGTGGTTTTGGGTCTTTGGGTCTGGGCTGTTGCGAAGCTTGTCCGTTTTTGTTAAGTGCATGATTAGTTAAGGTAGTTAAGCTTGTTAATTATTGTAATAATGATATATATATATATATATATATTTATTGTATACTGGTTCTGTATACAAACAGCTGTCTTTCCCGCCTTATTTGTAGTGTGAGAGTAAGGATTAGGAGCCTCTTTAATGTATTTGTAAATGCGGGTCAGGTTAATTGGTTAAGTTAATGTATCCGCTCCATTGCGCTTGATTTCAAACACCTCCCTGTTTAGAATATCTTCATCGAAAAAAAAACAAAATTATTGAATGTATCTCAATCTAATTAGAAATGACCCTAAATTAGATATATTTATATTTGGTGAGCAATGATAGAGTGCAGCAGTGAAGAATTTAGTGCTCATTTACTCGCGACTGTGACGTTTGGTGGATGGACCTGGAGGGAGTGTACCGACCTTTTGCTCTAGGCGACAAGTGTTCGTCATCAATTCCTATAGTCTAAGCATGAGCAAAATGTGCTCGTGTTCCTTACATTATTATGATTTGTTTTCGAAATTCAATCTTATTAGAATTTGATTTGATATGGCGAATGACGAAAGATCGATAAGCATCTGATTCTTGTTGTTATTAGGGTTTGATTTTACTTCCAATTTTCAATGGCTCTTGTCATCAAGGTCATCGTGATTTAACAAGATTTGACTAGGAGAAATTGTTCATCTCATCTCATTCTTTTTAAATTATTATTATTTTAATCATATGTCTCTTTTATTTCCACTTTGATTATTAAAGAGGTTAAACTTGTTTTCCCATATCATCATAGCCATGGTAAGACAGGATTATAGGTCCTACATTCATGATTTTTCCCACGTAGACCATTCCTTTGCTTTACTGACAGAGTTAGACTCGTACATTTGTTTGTCCATGGTGGCTACCTCAAGTCTATACTTAGTACCGCCCTTTCTTTCTTGTGACAAATCACTCTAAAAATTGTGAATCGAAATATAGTAGTGATCATGTTCATTAATAAACTTTATGAAGATGATTAAGTTTTTGATAATATCGATCGGAAACCTAAACTCTAACAATTAGTTTTCACCATAATCTCACAGTTATGTGGGGTTTGGCCAATATTGAGAGAGTTTCCACCTAATATCATATACCAACAAAACGTACTTGTAAGATGAGTCTCTTCATCCACCACGAGACTCCAATTGATTCTTTTGGTAATGAAATGAAAATTCTGTGTATCATAATGTTTTATTTTATGCCATTTAGGTTTAGCACACTGACTGGATCATCAAGTGTCAATTTCAGACTACCTGTGTGGTGTGTGGGCATTTCATCAACTCTCCCTCCCTCAGTACGTACCTTGTGCCCCACTAGTTCCTTTTTCTTTTTTTATTTTCCCTTTCTCCTCTCAAATTTCTTAGGTTAACTTTATCGGGATTTGGGCCGTGAGGCTTACGAGATACTACAACTTTTGTTTTATTTTGTGTTATCTTTTTAAAAAAATAAAATCTTGAATGCTTTTTCAGTTTTACTTTTTTTGAAAAGAGGCACCAACCAACAAAGTTGTCCGCTGCTTGACAACCTACTGTTTGTTGTGTTTCCACATTAATCACTTGGCCAGCGCCGGGGGGGCTCCGATATATTTGTTTCTCTTGTGTTGGGTATGTTTTTAATGACTTACTTTAGACGAACCAATAATAATAAGAGCAGTTATCCTTGAATTCAAGGTCGCGTGTTTGAATCCTTCCTCTTCATTATTGTTTCTCTTATATTCAAGGTCAGAGGTTTGAATCCCTCCTCCCAATTTTGTTCAATTTCGTTTGTGCAAAAAGTAATAATAATAAGAGCTCATTGACTTAATAACAAACTCATAATCATGCAGATCCATAGAAAGACTTCATGCACAAGAATTTTGTTGTTTAGTTCAATGGTATGGCCCAATTTGGGTTACCCCATCGAAAGTATTATTAAAAGACAATTTCAAGTTTTAGCGGTCAAAATGCATTACACATACAAGGGGAAAACCCAGCTGGCTCTCACTCCATCAACTTGCAAATTGAAAATCCAAACTATTTAGGACATAAGTTTTGACCTGAAAATGGAGGAAGAATAATATAATATCGCTAGTAATAGTACTAGTAGTAGGAGTGTCACTCAAAATGTTTAGCACTTTGATTATTTTAATATAATCAGTGTTGAAAACATAATTATAAAAGTGGCAGCGGCGCCTGAAGCCCCGACTTTGACAAAGTTTCAAGTGTTTTTGTGTATATAAAATTGGATAGGTGTTACACTTTTTACGTATGCTTTTGTTTTGTTTTCCTTGACATGTATCGTAAGAGGTTACCAGATGAATAATATTCTAGCTTTCTGGGTCCCGATGCACAAGTATTTCATTTGAAAGCTCATATAACAAGTTGCATGTCCCAAAATTTTAACTCTAGTGTTTGTTTGGTTTCTGGTTTCAACTTTAGACAAGTCGGGCCGGACGGGTCGGGTTTTGTGAATTGCAAGGGAAGCCATCTGGTTATCATTTCATTTAGAGCAATGAGTTGTCCAAATTGATTAACATCTAATGGGAAAAGCAAAGGGAAAGAAGAAGAAGAATAATTAGGAGAGGGGACCTCAAGTCAAGCTCATTGTCATCTAATTCTCACACAAATTTGATGAACCGAGGCACTCAGAGTCAGCGACAGACAATGGATTGGGAAAAGGAAGCCAACTGCTGCGAGGGTAATCAATGATTGGGTGGTCCTTTGGGAAAATTGACACTACATTCTCCTCAAAGGCAGCCAGAAATGAATATGACCCCCCCAAAAAAATTCACATAAACTACAAATATTTTTCAGATTGATTGATCAGAGGTTATAAGTGTTTCTGGTGCCAACTGTTAGGATCTTCGGGCCAAATACACCAACTGTAGCAATCATGGTCAAATAAATGAAGGAAAGATGGACTTACGATCACACTCACAAGCAAGTGGAACCCCCTGCATTCGGAGATAGGTGAGAGCAGCTGTACAGGTGACGTGGTCCGACCACCTCACCCAAGCCAAGACTTTCTCCTCCTTTTCAATCGTTTATGTAGCAGTGGACATTGTGGAATCTTTAAGGGTTTCTTATCTTTATCTAACCTTACATAGGGATAGGGATTAATGAAGTTTCTCACTTAAGTGATTGACTGATTGGTTATAACTTGTGCAAAAAGATGCAGACCACCCTCACAGGTTCCAAACCTAGAACTATAAAATAATGTAGGGTGTCTGTTCAAGGGTTAATAAAAAAATTAAGTTGATGTGATCACAGATCTCATGGTGAGAAAGGTGGACTAAGTTGATGTAATAAGCACAACAGTTCAATGGTGAGAAAAGTGCACTTTTCAGTCACGAGGCCAGAACCAACTTAATAATATCTAAGAAGAGGGCAAGAGATAGGTGAGAGCAACTGGACTGCAATAGAGAAGCAAAAAATGGAAGTACAGAAAAGAAAAAATTCAAAGCAGAACACAAACAAGTAATCCAATCATGACAAGCTTGTTATAGTACATCACGACCAACTGAGGATGACAGGATGAATGTTGCACGAGATAATCTACTCCTTTCTAATTCTAACAATGACTGATGGGTGCAATTCTATGGTATAAAGCAATATAAGTAAAAGGATGAAGGCCAAGAGCACAGGGCAAAAACAGTGTAGCATACAATTGTGTATGGATTCTCTCTTGACCTGGATAGTCCAGTGACAGGACAGACCATTAGAACATGAGGTTTCCTCAATGGGGACTGGGTGTTACTGAACTTTTGCCATGTGACTTTTAAAAATAACATGGCTTCAAGCATAGCTTGTAGAAATTAATCAAGGGATGGCACATTGTGCTTAACGGATCCAATGGAGGTGGTTTGCAATTTCTCAGCTGATTCATCTTTCTATCAAGCACTACAAGTACAGCTTGAAAAACTACTGAATTGGCTCCACATGTACTATCTATACAAATAAATATCATTTCTTACCTTTAAGTTCCTCATTCTGCAGATACTTCAAAACTCCGTACGCAACACTTCCAGCAACAAACAAGCCGACTGTTGGTGTAAAAGATGGATATAAATACTTCACAAAGAACTTGTCCCATTCTTCTGGCAGGAAGCCTGAAATGAAAATTAACTAATCATCTGAAACGTGAAGAGAATGTAAAGCGTAATTTATCAAATCGATTATAGAAATAACTTCCATGACTTATCGCATAAAACTTTTGCTTTACATTAAAGTAATCAATCATTATGGACAATGCACTGCCTTTTCAGATATGTGAAGAAATACTCCAATAATCAGGGGGGTCAGCTGAATATGGTAGGCTCTTAAAAGGAATGGTTTGTGAGCTGAATGAGATCAATGTTTGATAGTTGGTGTTGAGCTTCCAGGAAGAAGATCAAAATGGTGTTTCTGTGTTGATTTTTCGAATTAAGTCATAGGATGGTCAGTGAGAGTAGAACATTATTCAGTTCACATTGAGCCGCTTGTTTGGACAAATGTTCTAGAACTCGAACCATTTTGTGCAGTATCCATGGTAGATATGTCTGGGCACGAAAAAGGGACAGGAATGTTTGGGACCAACAAGGGTTTTCTATATAGATTAGACTAAAAGAATGACTGCAGATGAGCACAAGATACTGAATTGGATTCTAAATGATGAAATTTGAGTCCTAACTGGCTAACATGCCGGACTGAGATAAGCAAAGATGCAACCTATGAGTAAAACCCTTTACTAAACCTCATTTCTCTTTGGACCAAAACAGTCTCAATGGCAGATTTGGGCAAACGGGCTTGGTCTTTTGTTTATTGTCAAAGCGTTTGTTACTGCAACACAAGACATTTTTGGATAAACAATTCCATCAATAGGATATAGCAAGCCAAGATTAGATAACTGACAACACAATTTGAAAGCCATCAAAGCAAACAATCCCACAACTATACTGGTTAACTTAACTCTCAGCCACATTCAAATGATTCAAACCTATTAACTCCTATAATTCAACCAAATGCTGAACAAAAATCTATTCTTTAGACAATACCCAATAAAAATTTCATTTATTGGGTATTGTGATTCACACCAGTGCAATCACAATTAATGGAGGGATGAGTAATCGTACCCGATGCAGCGAGAAGAAGTCCTTGAGCTAGAATGACACCGCCAAGCCCCAACCAAGCAAGAACAAAAGCGCTCTCATTTGTGCCCATCTCTTTGGCCTTAGCCTCATCTTCTTCAGAATAAAGTAGCGGCTTTTCCACTGGTGACCTCCGAATTACCCTTTTCTTCTTATTAGGGACAGAATTCACATTCTGCGTGGTTGGAGAAGAAGGAGATGAGCCAAAGCCGAGCCCAGCTGAGGTGGGTTTCTTGGGTGGGGCCTGGGTGGTCTCAGCTTTGGGCTTGGACGGCTCTGATGGTGTCTGTGACTTGACTGTGAATTGGGTTCTGACTGAAAAGTGGAGCAGAGGAGTGTGAGGAAGATGATGATAGGGTTTGCTGGTGAAGGATGAGGGACTGTGGATTTGTAGCGCCATTTTCAGTTTAGTTGGTTAGTAGAAATTTTCCTTCTTTGGCTCCTTTTTGTGTTTTTTGGCCTGTAAGACAACGACATGTCGTTTACCCCATTAACGAAACACTGCGAGACTCGACTGAGGGAGTGTGGTGCATTGGGTTCTTCTCCTCCACAAAATCCCAATTTCAATTTTCAGGTGTTTGATTCAATTTTCTGCACCACAGAAATAGTTTTCTGCATTTTCAAACAATGTCGAACTCTCGAAGTCCTCTGATTTATCCTCAATAACACTTTTGCTCTCTGCTTTGCTTAGATGGACATCAACATCCACATCCACATCCACATTCCACAGTCTACTCTTCCTCTCCCACATGGCCTCACTCGTCACTTTCCTACACTTTCCCTCGTTTTCCTTCTCCCCAAACACTCTCCGCTTCTCACCCAAACGGTGCCGTTTCAAAGCTCAAATTGCGGTCACCGATGCAGAGAAGGCCGGCGTAGCCGTCGTTTGGTTAAAGCACGACCTTCGAATCGACGATCACCCAGCCCTTCTCGCCGCCTCTAACCACAACGCCGTAGTTCCTCTCTACATCTTCGATCATCGCATCATCTTCCGTAAGTCTGACGTATATATACACTGATGTACAATAATACACATAGATGAACTGATGGGAGTAAAATGTGCAGGTTTTCCCGAGAAAATGATAGAAATGCTTGTGCTTGCTTTACAAGATTTGAGAAGCTCGTTGAGAGATAAAGGTTCGAATTTGATGATCAGGCTTGGGAGTGCTGAGAGTGCGATACAAGAGCTTGTAAAAGAGGTTGTTAGATAAAAATATTAGCTTTGCTTACTGTGTATGAGAGACTAGTTCAACCACTCATCATCACAGAGGATTGGAACAGGTTCAGCTTGTCACCACTGTCTATGCTGAGGAGGAGGTGGAGTATGGATTAAGGCAGATGACTGGTAGTGTCAAGGGCACCTTGGAAGCAATGCCTTCTGCGCCCAACTTTGTGCTGTGGCGGACTCCGTTTTATGATGTGAAGGTAGTTTTGTTTTTCTTGACTAGTTTTTCGATTTATGTTTGAGAATTCTGGTTGTTCATCAAGTTAGTTTATAATTGAGTGGTTGTAGTTATTTTAATTATTGTATGAATGTGTATAATGTGTAGAGTTTGAAAGATATTCCTGATTCGTACAATGATTTTACCAAGCTTCGACTACCGATAACTTTGCCACTTCCTCCGGCAACATTAACTGGTGGTGAAATGGAATTGGACTGGGGTAAAGTTCCAAGATTGTTCATGTTTCTGCTTATACTCATACTTGATTTGTTTTGTTACTAAAATTTAGCAAAGTTCTATCTTGTAATATGTGTACTAGTGACAAGGATAACTGTACTGTGATTTTAGGTGCTATCCCCACATTTGATGATTTGAAGGAGTTTGTGAAGGCAAATCCGTGCAAAGTGGAAGAGAGTTGGGCTTCAACGAAGGAGATGTTGACTGAAACAATTCTCATGAAGGAAATTTTGAAGCCCGGAGGAAGAAATGTAATCAATTCGAGTTTTAGACATGTCCAGGTCCAGTCAAAGAGACACGAGAATTCTGTCTTTGTGACAAAAAAAGGACATTCTGTAGGAGGGGGGACAAGCAACGTATTGAAAGCTTTGGCTGCATACTTGCGATATGTAGAGGGAACAGAACGGGATCACTACTGGAAGGAGTATGTAGTCATATTTTATAATGTTATTTAGAGAGAGAAAAAACCCTTAAATAATCATATATTCCTTTCTCTTCCTATCTGCATTAACAAAAAAAAGGGTATTTTGGCATTATTTTGTTGCAGGGTACATGAAAGGATGCCTTATGCTGAAAGTCGGGATGGGGCTTCATTTACGACACTCTTTGGTCCTGCCCTTTCTCTTGGCATCCTATCCAGAAGGAGAGTACATTTTGAAGCTCTCAAGTATGAGAAAGAACGAGATTCTGGATTTCTGTCTTCTTTTGGATATTCATCTGCTACGGTTGCTACAACTGTTGATTCAGTGTGCTCAATGGAGGTGCTATACCAGTTATGCACAAATTATATTTATGTTGTGATTGAAGTGGTTCTTTGGAGACTCACCTTGTGAGGTTGCTAGCTTTTTGAAAATCATTATTTTTTCATAGTATATTTGTAAGCAACTGAGTTGTTTTTTGTGGCAGTGGTATTCGCTTGTGGCCCTAAAAAGTCAGATAAATGATGACAGAAGATATCATATTCGTATTTGGAGATGGAAAGGCTATCTAATTCAGGTATTCTGTTCAAAACTGATCTTCTACTCGTTCAAAGACTTTCCATGGCTTGTAATCTGAAAGAAATACTTAGCTGGGTTAGGTTTTAAATTTGCGTATATACTCTTTCATTATGATATTATCCTTTTGTCAGTATACAGTTGTTGGTCATGAAGGTCCTGCTGCTCTTCTTGTTCATGGTTTTGGAGCCTTCTTGGAGCATTACCGTGACAACATATGCAGCATTGCTGAAGGTGGAAACAGAGTTTGGGCCATAACAATTTTAGGATTTGGCAAATCGGAAAAGCCAAATGTTGTATACACTGAACTCGTGTGGGCTGAAATGCTTAGAGATTTCATTATTGAAGTTGTAGGTGAACCAGTGCACCTTGTTGGGAACTCAATTGGTGGTATGTTTTAAACTAGAAATGAGATGAGCAACTTACCTAAACAACCTCTTACATTCTTTTCTCTAGGTGGCCTATCTACTTCATTTTTCAACTGTTACTCTCCAGAGGCAATCTTTGAAAAACAAGAATGTATGTATTTTCAATCTCATCAGTACTATTTTCTATATCCAGGTTATATTATTGCAATTGTCGCTCGTCTTTGGCCTGCTTTGGCCAAATCTGTTGTTCTTATCAACAGTGGTGGGAATGTTATTCCAGGATATTCCTCTGCGCCATTCACCAAAGTAAGTTTGATTAAAACTGTGCAAGAACCCTATCTTTCATATGTAAGACAGCCTCATATTATAGTTTTCTGTTTCAGGAGAGAAGAACTTCTGGTGCTTCATGGCTAGGTGCTAAATTCCTTTTGTTTTACTTAAGGTTGACTCTCAAGGACATAGTGAAGAATTGCTATCCAGCTGTAAGTATCTCTATTGCTCTATATTTTGAATATGGTTCACGTTTATAGTATTGATTTGTGTTTTTACTACCTTTGCTTTGCAGAAAACAGAGCGAGTCGACAATTGGCTTATTGATGAAATGCTAAGAGCAGTATCCTCTTTCATGTCAAGTATATTTATTGTTTCTCTAGGAACTAGTAGTCACTGCTGATTTTTCTTTTGGAGCCACCAGAACATGTGTAATTTGTCAAAAATTATCTCCTTAACATAACTTGAAAGTCATATGATCCTGGGGTGGCAGTGGTCCTAGAAAGCGTTTTTAGCTTCAATCTGTCAGTCCCTCTAAATTATCTCTTGGATGGATTCGAGGACAGGGTTTTGATTATACAGGTAACTTCTTAACAAGCAGAGATAATCTCTCTCTCTCTCTCCCTCTCTCTCTCTCTCTCTTCCATCATTTGATCATCTTCTTGTTTATTTTTTGGTCCCTTAATCAAGTTCTGTCATGTAGGGAATGAGAGATCCAATATCTGATTCCAAGTCAAAAGTGGCTATGCTTAAAGAGCATTGCGCTGGGTTCATAATCAAGGAATTGGATGCCGGTGGGCAAAATACTTGCATAATCCTGCTCCATTTAGACTCAAAAGTTTCATGGAAGTTTACATTTTTTTGATGTTTTTTAAAATCCAGGTCATTGCCCCCACGACGAACTGCCTGATGAAGTGAATTCTATCATTCGTGAATGGATAGTGTCTCTGAGCAGCAAACTTCCGGTTGGCAGCTTTAAGTAGTACAAGGGGAGGATTTTATAAATTTTGTTTTCTGTTTCTTGTAAAAATCATTTATTAATATAAATCTGTACGTTAATTCTTTTTCAGCATATGCTGCAAGATTCACATGGATGTGTAAGAATAACAGTTCAAGGAAACTTATTAATATCCCACAGAAAATGAATAAAAATTGCTTCTCCAACATTTGCCTCGCCAACTTGACATTAGTGCCGTGGATGTCAAATTTAGAATAACGGTAAAAGAGACTTATATTTTGACAGTTTTCACTGTAGTAAAAGAAATGTTATATGCTTTTAAGATAATTGCTGCCGGACCGGTCCACATATTTGATTAATTAACATTATCATCTAATTAAATCATACCCAATTCAAAAGTTGCGTAATACTTGGCTTATACATCATATCATCAATCAAAACAACAAACAAACTTACACATCAAATTATCATCAACAACAAAAAAAATAAAAATGATAACGTTGAGTCTTTATTTTAAAGCCATCAAGTTGGTGATTAGTAATTTTGTTATAATTTCCTTTTGATGACAAAATAAAATAAAAATTATCCGCTCAGGTAACATATTTCAATAATGTAATTGTCCTTGTATCTTTCTCTACGGTTACTAACAAAAATCCATGACCAAGTTGCCATAAATAAAAAATGTATCAAATATCAAAGATTTAATACTGAAGCTACATCTTTAAAACAAAACCTAAAAAAATATCTTAAAATATTTGGGGATAAGAAGAAATGTGACAAATTTTTACAGATATACCGATGGCAAAAACCAAATTGGAGGTTGCTTCAACTTCTTCATCAGGGTCTTAGCATGTGCAGGCTTTAAAATCCTTTGACTTTTGACATTATACACCCCAAAATCTGTAAACGGACAATATCTTACTATCCGATCACAATAAGCGTAGAAGTAGATGCAATTCGACTCACATCCTTGAATTTTTGAAGCCACGACAAATATTGAAGAGTTATCACCCACAAAAATAACCGTAAGTGACCATCTTAATTAGTTCTATTTGAATCATCCACATCAATACGTTTTTACACGTAGTAAATCATCCACATCAAATCAATCAAATTGATTTCCTCATTCTCATTTGTATTACTCAAAGTTAACCATTTAAGGTGTGCGATCCATTAGGTTCTAATTAGCAAGGCAGTGGGAAAATATTAGAACTCTTTCTAACCAACTGGAATTAAAACCCCTTTTTAATTCTTCCTTTATTTGGATTGATCACAATCAATCTTAGGACTTCCACAAGCCAAGAGTGACATCTAGCAATATATCAAGGCTACCCAAGCTAACCAGAATAGATGAAGAACCTATTCAGTTGGAATTGCAATGCAATACGGTCCTTCTCTTATACAATGTTTCAAATCATATTATTAGGGTACGGATTGATTATGTCAAACCCCTAATATGATTTATAACCTCATGTAATTCAAGGGAACATGATTAAGAACAACTTTCTAAATCAAGCTCAAAAATACTTTGGCCAAAGATTTACTGAATCACATCTTGAAACATTCTCCTTCTTTATCAAAAGTAGAGATTCCTTATTGTACATTCATATGCCCCTATGATGAATTAAGAGATCCCAACAACACTTAAGACAAATCTTTTACGGATTGCCTTTAAGAGCTATCAAAGATCAATAACGCATCACAAGACAACCATGATGCCTCAGGTCTAAGGACTAATTTGCATTATTGCAACTATGAGTTCTCATTTGACATGTAGATAAATACTCCATATGAGAACTACGGTTGATCGCGTTCAGTGTACTCATTCACTAATGAGCACCCACATACTTGTATTAGTGTCAACTACACAAATGGTTTGAGACTAACCATCCTCCCAATTGAGCATACATAATATGCGCTAATCTTGACGGTTTATCAATGCCCATTTGATAACCTATGATTAGGAACATTTTGGGATACTACAATTAGAGATTAAAGGTCTCATGAATCTAATCTTCTTTAGATTACTTTATCTCTTATTTAGCATACCCTGGACATTTGTTTCTTTACACGATGTAAAAGATAACAAATTAAGTTTGCCCTTTATATATCATATACGAAATGTATTCTAAGGAGATCACATCAAATGTATTGGCTCTTAGGGCACATTTCTAACAGTATGATGGATTTTGGCATCCTGAGGTCATTTGGCCTTCCAAAACCGCATTCAAAGTTTCGTAGTTAATTTTCGGAATAAATTCTGTTTTTCAGTTTTATTGTAATAACTTCCCTAGCAGCTCAAGGGTTGAGAGATGTGTATTTAGACAGCTTTGGTGAACGTTTTTTGATATCTCAGATTTTAATCAAAATTATCCTAAGAGAGTTCCTCTTAATTTCTGGTGGAATCCAGATTTCTTGTTACTCAAGGTTTTCGTTTGAAACCTTTGTTGCTTGTGCTGCGTCACATTGATTCAAAACACAGACGATATCTTTTTGCTGCCTTTGAATGTAAAGCAATTGACTAGAAAGAAAATAACCCCCTTATTTATATACAAGTCCTTGTAATTCCTAATAAGAATAGGAGGAATTGCACGAGTTTTATCTTTTACATTCAAGGCCCAAAAGAAAATAGTCAAACAAACGACGGCCCACAAAAGAAACGTTGCATGACATAAAAAAGTTGGCCTATCTTGCCAATGCTATGCTTACCACATAAATCTACCACATTTTAATACCATCTTACATGGCAGTTGATGCGGACAACTACCTCATTAAAATTATATTAGTTATTTTTTAAGGACCACATAAATCTACCACATTTGAATACCATCTTACATGGCAGCTGATGTGGACAACCACCTCATTAAAATTATATTAGTTCTTTTTTAAGGAGATAATATTTTTTATATTTTTCTTTAGTTAAATTAAAAAAAAAAAAAACTAAACCCTACTGAATTAGAGACCACTTTTCACGTTAGTCTTTCTGCCTCCCCCAATTCCCTCTCTCCCTCCTTCCTCTCCTCCCCATCGCAGGTGCTTCGACGGACTTCTGCCATCGCTCCGCCAGACTTCGCCGGACTTTCTTCTCATAAGCAATTGTTGAATCAGTTATTTATTTATTTCCAATTAGTATTCAAATTAAGTTTTTTTTACTGGTTAAACATGGTCTTCTTCAAATCAGGATTTGTTTCTAATCGTTGGCGCTTTGTCAGACCTCTGCAACCCTTCCCCCGCCGATCCACTGCCGCTCTACTCCTTTCTCTTGGTGTTTGGTTTAGTACACCTATATATGTACATCATATTCTTCACCCCTCTCCCTTCTTGATCAAACTCCCTCTTCTTATAAGCCAAATCGCACAAAGCATCTAAAGAAAATCAGGACTGGAATTCAGAAGGTGTGGATGAATGAGTTTTAATTTTTTAATTTTCTGGATGGGTATGAAAGGAGGGAGAGAGGAAGGAGGGAGAAGTCCGACGAAGCACCTGCGATGGGGAGGAGAGGAAGGAGGGAGAGAGGGAATTGGGGGAGGCAGAGAGACGACGTACGTGAAAAGTGGTCTCTAATTCAGTAGGGTTTAGTTTTTTTTTTTAAAAATTTAACTAAAGAAAAATATAAAAAATATTATCTCCTTAAAAAAGAACTAATATAATTTTAATGAGGTGGTTGTCCACATCAGCTGCCATGTAAGATGGTATTCAAATGTGGTAGATTTATGTGGTAAGCATAGCAGTACCCTTTTTTTTGTGGCTGGAATTGTTTTTAATTTGGCATGCACAAGAGTGATTTGGGTAAGTTGATGAATAAGTAGATAATGTCGTTTCTATCCTCCGAGTCTGTCTACCCATAGAGAGTAAGGGCATTTTTGACTTTTCGTTTGTCAATTGTGCATCCGTAACCCGTTTCTGTTCCTTCAAGTTTGAACTTACGGTAGTCCCGTCTGCAGAGGAACGGCGCCAATGACATGCCAAAGCACTTTGATAATTTGGCCATTTTTATTTGATTTAAGGTGGCATAAATGTTGTCGGCTATAAGGAATTTCCTTTGACATATGCCATTTTCCGGACCTGAAACTAAATTGTAGTGATTTGGGTCTATTGTTAATCCAACTGGTTGGACCATGGAGGTCAAATTTAGAATAATGGTAAAAGATACTTATATTTTGACAGTTTTCATTGTGATAAAAAGAAATGTTATATACTTTTAAAATAATTATTGCCGTTCCGCATATTGATTTGGAGAAGCGGGTGAAGTTAAAAGTGGGCATAAATCCAGCCAAATTGATGAAACCGGCCAATTCAAATCGAAATTATCGGTTCGTTAATTCTTTTTCCTCAACAATCTATTATTATTTGAAATAGAGACACGTTTATTCGAATCAAATGGCTTCATTGATTATTCAGCATATGCTACAAAATTCACATGGGTGTGTAAGAATAACAGTTCAAGGAAACTTATTAATATCCCTCAGAAAATGAATAAAAATTGCTACTCCAACATTTGCCTCGCCAACTCCAGAGTGAAATCTCTGCGGCTGTTAGCCCACACTTGACATGCATCAAATATCAAATATTTAATACTGAATATACATCTTTAAAATAGAACCTAAAAAAATATCTTAAAATGTTTAGGGATAAGAAGAAATGTGACAATTTTTTATAAATAAACTGATGGCAAAAACCAAATTGGAGGTTGCTTCAACTTCTTCATCAGGGTCTTAGCATGTGCAGACTTTAAAATCCTTTGACTTTTGACATTATACACCCCAAAATCTGTAAATGGAGGATATAGTACCACACGATCACAATCAGCATAGAAGTATATGCAATTCGACTCACATCCTTGAATTTTTGAAGCCACGACAGATATTGAAGAGTTATCACCCACAAACAAAGCAAAATCACCTAAGTCATTTTTCTCAATCCACTCACGCGTATCATAATTTAGTTTGAAAATTCTAAATCCATTTGTCACACGACAATGATTTGTATAAGTAGTATAACGGTGAACCAACAATAACTCTTCCTCATTTGAACCCACAAGGTATGCCTTCATATATTCTTTTGTTTCAGAACAAGGTGCCACCAGATTTATATTTAAGATGCGCTGAGTAGTATATTCAAAAGTAAGTAGTTGGCTTTCACGGGATGTAACAACATAACTTTTATCTCCAATTTGAGCAATATCTTCATAAAGGCACCATATTTCATAACCAGTTCGATCAAAGTATGTCCATTTATCGTCTCCAAGTCTAATAAAAGCCAGTTCACACCTTGGCTCATATATTACCACAACAATGCAATCATTTGCATTTGATATTGGATCTGCTGAAATCGTTGCCTTGTAGACAAAATACTCACAATATTTAGCATGAACACTTCTGCGGTATTGACCTGGAGGATCTAATGGAGGCAGACGAACGATTGAATTTTCTTTCTCTTTTCTCCCCTTAACCTTGGATGATGGATTTATTAAGGTTACCACAAAATTTTCATCGCAAACTATTAACCATCCTTTTGAAGACCCACAAAATCGCTTCTTCATCCATCTTAACTGCATTTTGAGGACCTTATCATTTGTCACATCACATAAATTCCATGTATCTTTTCGTCTATCGGGAATCAAGAGCATTGGAACACTGTTGATTTGCTTATTCTTTGATACCCAATACCATGACTTGCAAACAACAGCGAATCGTAAAGAATCTAAATGTAACACTAGTCTCTTGAAAACTAAATCTAAAAGCTCCTCAGGCAAATTTTCCCAATCTGAAAATACAAAAGAAAAAAAATCCAATTAGAGATGTGATGAAGAAGAAGGAGATGTATAATTAATCTTGGCCATAGATAGCTTTATAAAAATAACCGTATGATTTGAAACATAGAAAGTAAAAATTGATGGAACAATATAAATTAGAAAAGAAAACCAGTAAAAAAGAATTTTAAACTAAAAAGGTACATTAATTCCTGTTTTTATTTTATTAGAAGATAGGAATGTTATAACTAAAAAACAAACAAATTACAGAAGCAAACCGAGAACAACAAATCTAAAGACAAATCTAGAAGGATGTAACCCTACACGCACAGTGATATAAAACAATATATATAGGGTTTAGGGTTCAACTCGACTGAGTATTTGATTAGAGTCATGCTTTTCTCGTTTTTTTTTTTTTTTTTTCCCAAATTTAGGATACAATTTTTTGTTTTATTTTACCAAATATTCATCAAATTTATAGGATAGGGACACATGAATTATCTATAAATATTTGCAATAGCAAGATACAATATAAATGGCTTACAATACTGATCAATATAGCATGATAACAACTTGCAAACAAACAATTTTACAAAGTAAGTAAAGGAAAACACGAGTAACCCAGAAAAGTTTTGTTTAAGAAAACATACCTGATTCCATTGATTCAAAACACAGACGATATCTTTTTGCTGCCTTTGAATGTAAAGCAGTCGACTATGGAAAGAAAAGAACCCCTTATTTATATACGAGTCCTCCTAATTCCTATTCCTAATAAGAATAGGAGGAATTGCAAGAGTTTTATCGTAATTCCTAATAAGAATAGGAGGAATTGCAAGAGTGTTTTCTTTTACATTCAAGGCCCAAAAGAAAATAGTCAAACAAACGACGGCTCACAAAACAAAAGTGATTTGGTTCAGTTGATGAATAAGGTCGTTTCTCTCCTACGAGTCTGTCTACCCATACTCAAAGAGAGTAAGGGTATTTTTGACTTTTCGTTTGTCAATTGTGCATCTGTTTCTGTTCCTTCAAAGTTTGAACTTACGGTAGTCCCGTTTGCAGGGGAACGGCGCCAATTACATACCAAAGCACTTTGATAATTTGGCCATTCTTATTTGATTTAAGATGGCATATATGTTGTCGGCTATAAGAACTCAGCTCCTACCAGATATACTTTAGGCTTCTTTTTTTCTTTCCTTTTTTTTGTTAACCACTTGATAACATTGGCATTGGCTGGGGACATGAACACCAGGGTTTGCATGAGGAACAGAATTTCCTTTGATATATGCCATTTTCCGGACCTGAAACCAATTTCTATTGATTTGGTTCAATTGTTAATCCAACTGGTTGGACCATGGAGGTCAAATTTAGAATAATGGTAAAAGATACTTATATTTTGACAGTTTTCATTGTGGTAAAAAGAAATGTTATATGCTTTTAAGATAATTGTTGTCGCTCCGCGTATTGATTTGGAGAAGCGGGTGAAGTTAGGGGTGGGCATAAATCCAGCCAAACTGATGAAACCGGCCAATTCAAATCGAAATTATCGGTTTGATTTTTTTTATCTAGAAAAAGTAAAATGATTTAAAATTTTAACTGAATCATATACAGTTTGGTAGGTTTGGTTTTGAGCTTTTGTAAATCGGCCTAAACTAAACCGGACATTTTATGTGTATATTTAATTATTTATATTTTATTTTACATGTGTAATACTCTAATTAGGTAATAATTATATATGAAAATTTAAATTGAGCTATATTAGTTATTGAAATTTGAAGTTTTATGGCATGTTGAACTTTATGATGGTTTCGTACTATAGAAAATGATTTAAGTGTGGAGCAAATTGTTAATTTGTTTGTTGTGATTGGGCTAACAATGTTGAAAAAATACAAAAAGAAAGATAATTGGGCTTAGGTCCAAACCGTCTTGAATTGGTTTGATTTCCTTCACAATTTTTGTCAAAATAGAAATCGAACCAAATCATTATGTTATAATTGATTTGACTCTGGTTTTCAGGAGAAACCGATTCAATTTGGATCAATCGAACCAAATCATTATGTTATAATTGATTTGACTCTGGTTTTCAGGAGAAACCGATTCAATTTGGATCTGCCCACATCCTAGATGAATGGTGCTTTTAGAATGAGAAGGCTGGCCTTATTGTCTTTTGCATTCAAGGGAAATAAAATGGATCGAGCCAAACTTCGTATTTTTGGGCGTTTAGGTCTTGAAAGAAACCCGAAAAGGTCTCGGTTGGGTTAGTGAGCTCGTATGGCAGGCCCAACGAAGCCAACCAGACTTCCAAAAAAGAAAACAAATTATTTATTTCAGCATGGAACTAATATAATGTATGTGGGGTACGAGGAGAATATTTGTTTTTTGAGAAGGAAAAGTGCAAAGTGGGTTCAATTTTTAGCTTTCCAGAGAGAGAGAGAGAGAGAACTAGGAGGGTTGGTAGGTGACATCGATCGGCAATGCATACATACAACAAATTAGAATACAAGGAAGGAAGGAGGCCCACCACCCCCACTTTTCGCACCATCACCATTGAATCTTTCTTGACCCACTAGTCTTTTGAATCTCAAGGGCTTGATTGGGAAAGATTTGCATATCAAAACATGGTCCCCGCGTTTCATTTTGGGATTAAAATGGTGTAATCATCTCACACCTCCATCATAACATGCAGGCTCTATTTATTATTATTTTTCCACAGTCGGAATCAACCTTTATTAAAAGAGGATGGAAATGTTTACATCCATGGCAAAGAAATCAAAGAGCCATTGCAGGCCAAGTTGGCCCAAATTAAAACAGCCTCAAGTACGATGAGCATAGGCAGCGACTTTGTGAGCCGCCCTATTACAATTACGCAGTATGTAAAGGAAAGCCACCTGCTGTTTATGGTTACATTAATTTGTATCCACAATTTTATCTTTTTGTAAGCTAAATATAACTCTCTCTCTCTCTCTCTCTCTCTACCAAGTTTTAAAAGCCTTTCTTTATAGTGTCAAAATCAAAACTTTTCTTTTCTTGAAACGTAGTTCACTTTTGGTTAAATAGATAATTAGTGTTGCTAGTTTATAATATTTAATAACACTAATTAGGAGATTATATGTTAATTGATAAGTCAATATAATATTATAAATCTCTAGCTTTGAACCATGTCACCCTTGCTTTGACGATATTTCTTTATATACAAGAAAAAAAAAAAGACCACTTTTTGAAAAAGGGAGCTCAGCACAACAATGTGCAAAGTTATTTTGTCTTTTGTATTTTTGGGATGTAAAAGGTTCATAATCCATTTGATCCCCTTGGAATTGGGCTGGCTAAAAAGGAAGGGAGGCATGCCCAAACGAAGCCAATCAGACTTCCCAAAAAGAAAACAAATTATTTATTTCAGCCTAGACTAGGACTTACAATAGATCGTGTCATGTTGGAATAATAAACGTGTCAAGAATGCTCAACTTAAACTCGACCGATTTAATAAAAATATCGTGTCGGTTTCAGATCGTGTTAAACATGTTATTAACCTGTTTAATAACATATTTAACAAATAAGTATAAACAAATAATAAAAAGAGTACAAAAAATCAACAAAGACCCATATCTCAAATTCACAAGGTCATCAGAAATTACCACCCACGAACCTAATATGATATATGTGGGGAAGTGAAGTGGAGATACGAGGAGAATGTTTGTTTTTTAAGAAAGAAAAGTGCAAAGTGGGGTCATTTTTATCTTTCCCAGGGAGCTCAAGCAGAGAGAGAGAGAGAGGTAACGAGAGAACGAGGAGGGTTGGTAGGTGACATCGATTGGCAATGCATACATACCTACATACAAGTAGAACAAAGAAGAAAGGAGGCCCACCACCCCCACTTTTCGTAACCTCACTAGTATTTTGAATCACATGGCTTTGATGTGATGGGAAAGATTTTCATATAAAAAAAGGGGTCCCGTGTTTCATTTTGGGATTAAAATTTTGCAATCATTTCACATCTCCTGCATACATGCAGGCTTTATTTTTGGTTACATTGATACGTTTGGTGAGCCAAATATAAATCCCTATCTCTCTCTCTATCTACCAAGTTTTAAAAGCCTTTCTTTATAGTGTCAAAAATCAAAACTTTTCTTTTCTGGAAATGTAGTTCACTTCTGGTTAATTAGATAACACTAATTAGGAGATTATATATTAATTGATAATTGAATATAATATTATAAATCTCTAGCTTCGAACCATGTCACCTTGCTTTGACAATATTTCTTTATATACAAGAAAAACAACAACAAAAATGTGGTTTTTGTCACTGTCCCAAACACAATATTTTTTTTTGGCACTATAGAGATATTATAGATTAAAAACACTGAAATTCGTAATTAATACATTAAAAATTTCAAATCTTACAAGCTCGTTGTGATGTTATATTTGTATGGAAGCAGTAAAATATGGTTTCTAGTTGCACAAAAAATCAAAGTAATTTCTTGAACCCAATTTTGTTATACACCACTTCCCCAATTTCTCACTAACTTAAGGCATTATAGAGGCACTATAGAGACGGTACAAAGGCAGGGGAGCAGAGCAAAGACAGAGACCCCTAGATCACTAGCAAGGAAAATCCTTGAGGGCTATAAGACCCCCATTATTGAAAGTTGAAGCCCCATATCAACTCTTCTCATAAACAATTTGAGTTTTTCTAGTGAGGCTTATTTCTTGTGGATTTTTGAGTGTTTACTATGGATATTTCTAGTCAAAAGCTTCATTGCAATGCTTGCAAAGATAACAACTCATTTGGCAACAAGAAAAGCTTGACTGAGCACTTTGGTATGATTCATGACAAGACTCACAAGCTATGTGGTGAGAGAATACTTTGCAAGGAGCCCATCTACCCCAAGCATGAAATACATGTTTGTATTCCATCTGGGGTTCCAAGGATCAACAAGAATGAGATCAAGAAGAAAGAGAAGAAGAAGGAGGAGTAAGAGATTAGAAAATGTTGGGAGTTTAGGTATAGGATAGTGGTGATATTTATGTATGGGAATGAGATTATGGGAGGGTGATTGATAGTGGTGGTGTAAGAAGGTGGTGTTTTGAGAGTTTAATAAAATCTCTGTATTGTGTTCTTTATTTTTATAGATCAGTTCAGGTATTCTGTTCAAAACTGATCTTCTGCTCGTTCAAAGACTTTCCATGGCTTGTAATCTGAAAGAAATACTTAGCTGGGTTAGGTTTTAAATTTGCGTATATACTCATTCATTATGATATTATCCTTTTGTCAGTATACAGTTGTTGGTCATGAAGGTCCTGCTGCTCTTCTTGTTCCTGGTTGGTTTTGGAGCCTTCTTGGAGCATTACCGCGACAACATATGCAGCATTGCTGAAGGTGGAAACAGGGTTTGGGCCACAACAATTTTAGGATTTGGCAATGCATAGAGATTTCATTATTGAAGTTGTGGGTGAACCAGTGCACCTTGTTGGGAACTCAATTGGTGGTATGTTTTAAACTAGAAACGAGATGAGCAACTTATCTAAACAACCTCTTACATTCTTTTCTCTAGGTGGCTTATCTACTTCATTTCTCGACTGTTACTCTCCAGAGGCAATCTTTGAAAAACAAGAACGTATCTATTTTCAATCTTATCAGTACTATTTTCTATATCCAGGTTATATTATTGCAATTGTAGCTCGTCTTTGGCCTGCATTGGCCAAATCTGTTGTTCTTATCAACAGTGGTGGGAATGTTATTCCAGGATATTCCTCTGCGCCATTCACCAAAGTAAGTTTGATTAAAACTGTGCAAGAACCCTATCTTTCATATGTAAGACAGCCTCATATTATAGTTTTCTGTTTCAGGAGAGAAGAACTTCTGGTGCTTCATGGCTAGGTGCTAAATTCCTTTTGTTTTACTTAAGGTTGACTCTCAAGGACATAGTGAAGAATTGCTATCCAGCTGTAAGTATCTCTCTTGCTCTATATTTTGAATATGGTTCACGTTTATAGTATTGATTTGTGTTTTTACTACCTTAACCTTTGCTCTGCAGAAAACAGAGCGAGTCGACAATTGGCTTGTTGATGAAATGCTAAGAGCAGTATCCTCTTTCATGTCAAGTATATTTATTGTTTCTCTAGGAACTAGTAGTTACTGCTGATTTTTCTTTTGGAGCCACCAGAACCTGTGTAATTTGTCAAAAATTATCTCCTTAACATAACTTGAAAGTCATATGATCCTGGGGTGGCAGTGGTCCTAGAAAGCGTTTTTAGCTTCAATCTATCAGTCCCTCTAAATTATCTATTGGATGGATTCGAAGGCAGGGTTTTGATTATACAGGTAACATCTTAACAAGCAGAGATAATCTCTCTCTCTCTCTCTCTCTCTCTCTCTCTCTCTCTTCCATCATTTGATCATCTTCTTTTTCTTTTTTTTGGTCCCTTAATCAAGTTCTGTCATGTAGGGAATGAGAGATCCAATATCTGATTCCAAGTCAAAAGTGGCTATGCTTAAAGAGCATTGCGCTGGGTTCATAATCAAGGAATTGGATGCCGGTGGGTAAAATACTTGCATAATCCTGCTCCATTTAGACTCAAAAGTTTCATGGAAGTTGACATTTTTTTTATGTTTTTTAAAATCCAGGTCATTGCTCCCATGACGAACTGGCCGATGAAGTGAATTCTATCATTCGTGAATGGATAATGTCTCTGAGCAGCAAACTTCCGGTCGGCAGCTTTAAGTAGTACAAGGGGAGGATTTTATAAATTTTGTTTTCTGTTTCTTGTAAAAATCATTTATTAGTATAAATCTGTACGTTAATTCTTTATCCTCAACAAACTATTATTATTCTAGGAAATAGAGATGTTTATTCGAATCAAATGGCTTCATTAATTATTCAGCGTATGCTACAAAATTCACATGGATGGATAAGAATAACAGTTCAAGGAAACTTATTAATATCCGTCAGAAAATGAATAAAAATTGCTTCTCCACATTTGCCTCGCCAACTCCAGAGTGAAATCTCTGCAACTGTTAGTCCGCGCTTGACATTTGCATCCTACATTACCTCCGACAAGACCCATGCCGTAGTTTCGCCTCTTCGCTCACCTTCTTTTCTTCAAACCCCTCCATTTCATTCCTTCCTTTGCTATTTAGTTGACTAGTTCTTGTTAACTCAAATGGAACACAACAAGGTCTGTTCTCTATACCTTTTCCAACTTCATTTCATTACAAAGACAGGAAATATCAGGAACCATTCCTCCATTAAAATTCCTTAGGATCCCATCTCCTACAAGACCACTTAACAAATGGGACGGTTCTTTAGCTCCCCCATGCTGTAAGAATTTTGTTCTTAATGCAGTTCCCGTAGTTAATGATAGTGGATCCTCCTGGCACAGTTTCTGCCATATTGTTGCGGCAAAACATTTGGCATACAAGTAGCTATAATAACCTGCAAGACAAGACATTTTATCAGCCATGAAAACGAAATTGTACACAAAAAAGGATATTATTAATAATAATGTTTCTAAATTTCACATTTGAGATACTTTTGAAGCTCAAAGAGGTTCAAGTTTGTGGATGAGGCTGATAATTTGAAGTTACCTGCACCATAATTCAGGAGGTGATTGAATCGGGCCTCCCAGTGTGTGCCATCCACGTGCTTCCAACTAGTATATTGTCTTTTCAGATCTGCAACAATAGAACTTGTTGGTGGAGTTGGCTGTTCCCCAAAGAATGTTTGGTCAATAACAGCATAAAAAATCTGAGAACAGGAAACAAGCAAGCAAACATTGGTCAGTATTCCTTCTTTGTTGGTTTTCTCGTCTTCTCCAGGAAGGTCCTTGGATAATAACCTGACGTTGCAATTCAGTTGCATCAAACATCTTTCTGGCACCCTGCATTGACTCTACCAGTTTCTCAGGGATGCTTTCACCAGTTGAATAGTGTTTGGCAAATGTCTTCAAAACTCGGTAATCCCATGAATAGTACCTTGACATATCAACAGAAAACATTTTCTCATCAATATCCCAAAAATAGACTCTGATAATTCAGACAGTTGCGACAATTAAGAAGTATCATGCCAAACATATTCATTCAACTACGTTGTCTTTCATATATTTCTACAAAGATTTTCATCAGATGAAAGAATGATGGAATAAAAATCATAGCATTCAACTCACTCAAAAAGGTTTGAAGGTGCTTCCGCTAAATCAAGAGCCACCCTGGTACCTGAAAAGTGTTGGTAATCCTACAAGAAAATATAAAAAATGTATTATGAATTTGTGGCAAGGAAGAGGAGGTGATATAGCTTGTCTTCCGAGTCATAAGGTATTTCTAGAATACCGTTCTTGAAAGCAAAGAATGAAGAGCATGTCCAAACTCATGAAACAGAGTTTCCAATTCCCAATGATTCAGCCTTGCAGTTGATGAATTATGTGAAGCAGAAAAATTGCAGACAAGAGCAACAACCTGCGCACCAAACCAGAAAGTCATTGAATGAGTATCTAACTTTTTTGTAATATAGTCTGCAACCCAAGTCAGACATTTTCTCACAAAGAGGATTCCAAAATACTATGTTCTGATATTTAATTAGAGAGTTTCTCCAACAAAAATGCAAACCCATCGGAGTGTCAAAGGTTTTTAGTGTCCAAAAGAAGTATTTGCAAGCCCTAATTCGCTTTTCGTTCCATTTTGAAGAATCCAACTAGCTAAGAATTATAAAGTATACTCTTTAAAAATGCGTATAATGTGCAACATAAAATTTGACAGGAGAAAAAATGTCTATTTACATACTGGAAGTTGATATTCTGTTTCAGAAACCATGCGGCCACCTTTAATTGCAAAATGAGCACAACCAGGATACTTGCCCTTCCTTGAGTACAAATCAAGGTAGAGATACCCCAAATCACCCTGTAACAAGTGCATTGATTCTAATCAATATACGTGAAAATCACAGAAGACAAAATCATTACAATCATGCACAAGAGTTTAATTACGCATGTAATTGAAGCATTCCCAATGCTGCAAGGAATTCTCTTAAACTGTATAACACAGACTGAAGACATTCACACGTATTATCATCCACGTAAATACCTCTTCAGGATGATGAAGAGACATTTTAAGCACATCTGGGTGCCATGATTCACCTGGTGCTAGGGGGATGCTATGAAACGTGGCACCAAACAACGACTCCACCAGCACTTTCAAACCCTTAATACATTGAGGCAGAGGAAAATACGACGCTACAACCTGCATGAGAGAGACAGAGAGTCAAGAAAACTTCCCTTGCCGTCAATATGATGCGTTAACAAGTAAATCAAAGAGATGGTATTCCACAAGCATCGTCGTAAGTAAACATTGCAGTTATCAGTTCTTTACTTCAAAAGCAAACATGGGAGCATAGCATACCGAAGAGTCCAAGTCATAGGCAGAAGACTTCATCATTGCGGTGTAATATGCCTCATCCCATGGCTCTAAATCTCCATATTGTTGACCACATTTTTCTCTTTTAAAATCCCTAATTTTTTTTAACTCCTGAAGTAAAAGTAACATCATTAACAGATAAAACCTGCAGTGTGATCTACAGTCAAAATGAAAGAGTAACAATACTTTCAAACACTACAAATGTTTTCCAAAGGACATATTACCTCATCAGCGCTGGGTTTGACCATCTTTCTCATCTCTAGCAAAAAAGACATCACAACTTCTGGTGACGAAGCCATATTAGGCTTCACATTGAATTCAGCATAAGATCTATAACCCATTATCTGCATTCAACAACAAGAACAAAGCATACCCATAAGTACAAATACAACAGAAAAAGACCCTACATCAATCCATATCCACTACGTTTCAAATCAGACAATTCCTGCAAAATATAGATGTCTACGAAAGATCACAAGAGATCTGCATTAAAGTAACTCCTCAGATGACATACAAGTCTAGATGGGAAAATGTACTTGTGAGCACTAACTTTAACCTGATTCCACACAGGTTTGGAAAGCCTTCTCAACATCTTATAATACTACAGAGAGAGAGAGAGAGAGAGAGAGAGAGAGAAACCTGAGCAAGCTCATGGCGGGAAGCTATAAGTTGATCAAGAACTCCAAGGTTTGCATGAGGAACAGAATTTCCTTTGATATATGCCATTTTCCGGACCTGAAACTAAATTTTAGTTAATTAACAAAAAGACAAGCATAAAACACAATAAATGCAAATGGGAAAGAAATTTAAGTGACATGCAATATAACAAAGCCCAATTTCATTTGCAAAGTAAAGCAAATGAGAAAAACAAAGAAAGTGCATCCATAGTGTAAACTTAGTTTCCATATTCTGGCATCTAGAACTTACTGCCCTAACTCCCTACCCCAGAAAAGATTCAGAAAACAGGAAAGTCGAGTTTCACCAAACAACAATCAAGCTACCTCATCATTTGGTGCCCCTTGCAGAACACAAGATAGAGTGTGGGGGTCTGTTGTTATACGAAACCCCTTCTCGTTCATGGTACCCCTGGGCCTCCATGAGTCCTTTGAAACTACAGATGTTGAACGATAGATGGGCTTAAGAAGATGGTGCAAATTTCGGGGCATATGTGATGCCGGGAAAATATCCACAGTACCCGGGTCATTGACGATATTTTGATTGAACCTAAACCAAAAAAAAATGCATTTGAAGCAAAAGTAAAGTCAATTAGTCAAGCTCTTGATTTAAAAGCAAAAATGAAAAGCATGGTACAGCATCAGCAAGCAGTTAAAATTATATCTCCACAACATTGCAAAACTTGAATAAGATACTTTTGGCCCTAGGCTCTAATGGAAAATGGGCAGTGTGGGCCTAAGCTATGTCTTTGGTTCAAATCTTACAAGCACAATAATTGTGTGGCAGCATTAGTCAAACAAACCAGTAGAAAATAACTTATTTTCCTAAACCTGGTAGCAGGCCTAAAAGTTCTAACTTGCAGTTAACAATTGGCACAGAGGAATGCAAATAAAAAAAAAAGATTGGTAAAATGAGTGTCACTTTATAATAAAAAAATGAAAAAAATTTAAATAAATTAGTGTACTTACTGTCTGCACAATTGGGAAATTTCTATACTCAGCCGGTTCACTCTATCTACTTTCTCTGCAAAGCAAAAGTGAGGAGTCATTTAGCTGCAACAAAATCCCTTCTGTAACAGCAGCATAAAATGACAAGAAGAGAGCAAGTACCAGCAGAAAGATGAATCCCACTCCTCTCAAAGTCAAGGCGGAGGTAATGCGCGACCCTATGAGCTTCGTCGGTGAGCAAGTTGCCCTCTTGCTCAGCTTTAATCACGGCATTATATAAAGTATGATTTGTATTTAGATACTGTAAGACAATGATGAAAATTTTCAAATCAGATACTGGCAATGGCTCATGACTACAATACAATTTATATACATAACAAAACCGTGAGCAAAAAGTTAATAACACTTGCAAAGACGATTCACTGTCACCTCACATGTAGATATTCATTAACTCTTATTGAAGCTTTGATCGCCTCCTCAACAAATTCCCTAATACACAATCAAGTGAAAATCGACAATGAAATACCGAAACATCGAAAACTACAAAAAAAAAGAGTCAACAAATTCAGAGAATAATAACCTGTCAGGATGAGTTTGTCTACAAAGCTCCGCGGAGTCAATGACAGAACAGACCTATGCAATTAGAGAGTATAACAAAGAATTAGTCCAAAAACTCTTAAAAAAAGAGAATTAGACAAACTGTGAGACCTTACTGTGTTAGAAATCTCATCCATGGCTCTTATTATTTCCGCCGAGGAAGGCATCCCTGAAATGTATGCAACCAGCTCTCCGGACCTAAAAACAAAAAACAAAACGAATGAAAATGGGGAGACTGATGGAAATCAAAATGCCATGAATATTGGGATTTTCAAAGTTTGGACCTTTCGATAGCATCGTCGACGAAACGTCGAAAGCCTTTGGGGGTCTTTAAGTGGTCGAAGCCATAGAGACCGGTGGCGGTGGAGAAGGCGTACTGGCGACGGGTCGTACTAGGGCCCGGATAGCCGAATATATAACCGGGTTTGAACCGGAGCTTTGGGCAAGACCGGCGGAGGAGTCTGAGCATTGTTTTTCCGGTGGCGCCGTAGTGAGGTAGGTCTGCGGAGGTTTTTTATGTTCAGTATGTGTACTACTACGGACCAGAAATCCAACTGGTTGGGCCGTGGATGTCAAATTTAGAACAACGGTAAAAGAGACTTATATTTTGACAATTTTCACTGTAGTAAAAGAAATGTTATATGCTTTTAAGATAATTGCTGCCAGACCGGTCTACATATTGATTAATTAACATTATCATCTAATTAAATCATACCCAATTCAAAAGTTGCGTAACACTTGGCTTATCCATCATATCATCAATCAAAACAAACAAACAAACTTACACATCAAATTATCATCAACAAAAAAAAAAAAAATTATAACGTTGAGTCTTTATTTTAAAGTCATCAAGTTGGTGATTAGTAATTTTGTTATAATTTCCTTTCGATAACAAAATAAAATAAAAATTATCTGCTCAGGTAACATATTTCAATAATGTAATTGTCCTTGTATCTTTCTCTACAGTTACTAACAAAAATCCATGACCAAGTTGCCATAAATAAAAAATGTATCAAATATCAAATATTTAATACTGAAGCTACATCTTTAAAACATAACCTAAAAAAATATCTTAAAATATTTGGAGATAAGAAGAAATGTGACAAATTTTTACAGATATACCGATGGCAAAAACCAAATTGGAGGTTGCTTCAACTTCTTCATCAGGGTCTTAACATGTGCAGGCTTTAAAATCCTTTGACTTTTGACATTATACACCCCAAAATCTGTAAACGGACAATATCTTACTATCCGATCACAATCAGCGTAGAAGTATATGCAATTCGACTCACATCCTTGAATTTTTGAAGCCACGACTGATATTGAAGAGTTATCACCCACAAACAAAGAAAAATCACCTAAGTCATTTTTCTCAATCCACTCACGCGTATCATAATTTAGTTTGAAAATTCTAAATCCATTTGTCACACGACAATGATTTGTATAAGTAGTATAACGATGAACCAACAATAACTCTTCCTCATTTGAACCCACAAGGTATGCCTTCATATATTCTTCTGTTTCAGAACAAGGTGCCACCAGATTTATATTTAAGATGCGCTGAGTAGTATATTCAAAAGTAAGAAGTTGGCTTTCACAGGATGTAACAACATAACTTTTATCTCCAATTTGAGCAATATCTTCAAAAAGGCACCATATTTCATAACCAGTTTCATCAAAGTATGTCCATTTATTGTCTCCAAGTCTAATAAAAGCCAGTTCACACCTCGGGTTATATATTACCACAACAATGCAATCATTTGCATTTGATATTGGATCTGCTGAAATCGTCGCCTTGTAGACAAAATATTCACAATGTTTAGCATGAGCACTTTTGCGGTATTGACCTGGAGGATCTAATGGAGGCAGACGAACGATTGAATTTTCTTTCTCTTTTCTTCCCTTAACCCTAGATGATGGATTTATTAAGGTTACCACAAAATTTTCATCGCAAACTATTAACCATCCTTTTGAAGACCCACAAAATCGCTTCTTCATCCATCTTAATTGCATTTTGAGGACCTTATCATTTGTCACATCACATAAATTCCATGTATCTTTTTGTCTATCAGGAATCAAGAGCATTGGAACACTGTTGATTTGCTTATTCTTTGATACCCAATACCATGACTTGCAAACAACAGCGAATCGTAAAGAATCTAAATGTAACACTAGTCTCTTGAAAACTAAATCTAAAAGCTCCTCAGGCAAATTTTCCCAATCTGAAAATACAAAAGAAAAAAAAATCAAATTAGAGATGTGATGAAGAAGAAGGAGATGTATAATTAATCTTGGCCATAGATAGCTTTATAAAAATAACCGTATGATTTGAAACATAGAAAGTAAAAATTGATGGAACAATATAAATTAGAAAAGAAAACCAGTAAAAAAGAATTTTAAACTAAAAAGGTACATTAATTCCTGTTTTTATTTTATTAGAAGATAGGAATGTTATAACTAAAAAACAAACGAATTACAGAAGCAAACGGAGAACAAAAAATCTAAAGACAAATCTAGAAGGATGTAACCCTACACGCACAGTGATATATATATATATAAATAAACAACATCCTAAAAACTGATTCAAATAGAACTAATTAAGATGGTCGCTTAGGGCTTGTTTGGGCGTGTATTTCATGCAAATGACCCATTAGTATAGTAGTTTGGAGTAATTGCTCTCTTAGGCAAGGTCATGAGTTTAGTATATTATTACACTTCTCAATATAAAAGGTTCTATAAAAATAAGGGTGTGTCATTCATTAGTTGACAAAAACAAAAGGATTCCCCACGAATATTGTATGATAGGATTATACAACTTGACTGAGTATTTGATTAGAGTCATGCTTTTCTCTTTTTCTTTATTTTCCTTAATTTAGGATATAACTTTTTGTTTTATTTTACCAAATATTCATCAAATTTATAGGATAGGGACACATGAATTATCTAGAAATATTTGCAATAGCAAGATACAATATACAAGGCTCGCATGTTTACAATACTAAATATAGCATGATAACAACTTATTCCAGAAAAGTTTTGTTTAAGAAAACATACCTGATTCCATTGATTCAAAACACAGACGATATCTTTTTGCTGCCTTTGAATGTAAAGCAGTCGACTATAGAAAGAAAAGAACCCCTTATTTATATATGAGTCCTCCTAATTCCTATTCCTAATAAGAATAGGTGGAATTGCAAGAGTTTTATCGTAATTCCTAATAAGAATAGGAGAGTTTTATCGTAATTCCTAATAAGAATAGGAGGAATTGCAAGAGTTTTATCTTTTACATTCAAGGCCCAAAAGAAAATAGTCAAGCAAACGACGGCCCACAAAACAAAAGTGATTTGGGTCAGTTGATGGATAAGGTCGTTTCTCTCCTACGAGTCTGTCTACCCATACCCAAAGAGAGTAAGGGCATTTTTGACTTTTCGTTTGTCAATTGTGCATCTGTTTCTGTTCCTTTAAGTTTGAAGTTACGGGAAAATTCTACAGTGCGCCAGGCGCACTGATGCGCCAACTATTATAACCATCGGATGAGTAATTGGGGCATGAGAGATAATCCACACCGTTGATTGTTGATTACCAGTTAACTTGTTGCTGTAGGTAAAACAAAAGACAAAAATAAAAACAATTGCTCTCTCCTTCAATCAGAGATGTTTCAAGTCGACTAGGGTTGGGTTTCTCATTTTTCTTTCTCTTCGAGTTCGATTCCTTCCACGGCAGCTCCTCTCCTCCTTCTGTGACAACGAGAAAGCGGCGACGACCACATCTCCTCTCCTCTCAGGTAAGTCAGGCTTCTTATTCTCCTTCTTCTATCTCCTTACATCTCTCTCTGAACAGAGCCGCTTTGCCTCCTCTTTTCTCAGTCTGTTTGATTTTGATTCCTTCCACAGGCACTCCTCCTTCTGTGACGACGTCGACGAGACAGCATCAGCGACGTCATATCCTCTCCTCGATTTCTCTCTCATATCAGTTTAAGGTAAGCATCATTTCCTTTGAATTTAGGGTTTTTTCTGTTAAATTAGGATTGTCGAATTAGGGCTTCTGAATTGAATTGGGGGTTGAGGTAGATGATTTTTCTGTTAAATTAAGGCTGTCAAGGTGGTTGAGATTGTGATGGATTGATAGTTTTTTATTTTCTGGATATTTGGTGGGTCTAATTTATAAGATTCATTAATCGTTGAATATTGATATAAGTTTGGAGCTCATTTATTGGAATTTATTGGTCTGCAAAGCGTTTTTTTTTCCTCTTGCTATAACTGCCCTGACAAGTTATTTACAATGTGTGGACTTAAATTTCGACCTCCAATCTCTCACAACTCAGTTTGCTCTTTTTTTCCATATATATACACACATAGTGACTTCATGAGCTTTGTCTCATACAAAGCTTTGTTTAGGCTTATTATCAATTGTTGGATGAACATTTCATGTCTCGTTTTGAAGTAATTTTCATTTTTGGGTTTTGCTTTTGGTTCCTATCTGGTGCTGAATTTTGGATTATTGGGAGGGTGTTCCTCTTGTAAATGATTGGTGTTTTTTTGTAAAAGTTTCATAGTTATTCAATTTGAGCTCTGCCTTTATGTTTCTTTTATTGTAGTTGTTCATTTCAGATTAGTACTCTTTCAATACTAAATAGCCACATTTGTATGATTTAGTGTTTTGAGCTATCGCTTTTGTCTTGGAATTCTTTGGCATTGATCACTTTTTTGTCCTTAAGATGAAGCAACGCAGGACTCCTCTCTGGGTTTTTAGTTGGAATAAATGGAAAAAAGTGAAATTATTGGGAAAACACTTTGTGTTGTTTGTAGGTTGGGAATGCTTTAGAAATCATGTGACTTTGACTTGGGCTGAACCTATAAAGAACTCAAATAACCAATTGGGCTGAAGTGGAAGTTGTGGAAGTTTCTAGTCTCGACTTTGTAGCCATGGTTCTGATTTAGATAAGGAATATGGTCATTATATCTTGAATTTGGGAATGTTTTGATGTTTAAAGCTGATAAGTGATGTTATATATAATTGTTTCCTATAATTTAAATAAATAAATAAAAGAGCTAATAAGTGATGAATTTTTAAATATTTGCATTGGTTGATGAAATCTGAGGTTATATTTGTTGTAGATAGA